AATCTGATACAACTAAAGGACTTTGCAATGGGACAAGAATGATTGTCACCCACATCAGCACCAGAGTTCTCAGATGTCAGATCATTGGTGGGGATGCCAAGTTTGCAGGATCAATTGTTTTGATTCCAAGGATCAACATGGATGTCTCTGAAGAGGATTTGCCAATTCCACTGTGCAGGAGACAGTTTGCTTGGCCTTTGCTATGACAATCAACAAGTCTCAGGATCAATCAGTCAAGCATGTTGGATTGGACCTTTGATCAGGAGTTTTTGCACATTGCCAACTTTATGTTGCACTTTCTCAATGCACATCAGGAGATTGTATCAAAGTCATTTTGGACCCAGAAAACACATCAGGAAAGACTGCAAATATTGTCTATCAAAAAATTCTCAGTGATTTACAAATGTAAGTGTGACTTTTGATGGATACAAGCAACAAATTGCTAACTTCTATGAACCTCAGCACCTAATGTATATAGCCTGACAGTGTAGTATAGATATTCTTAATGGTTTACAAATGTAAGTATGACAGTGTAAATAATTTCTTGGTTAGTACTAACTTTGACAATTTTCAGCAGCTCTAATATATACCAGTGGACATTGTAGTATTTTGTTGATGATGTAATATAGATACATGATTGGTTTATGTCTCAGCATTGAAGTGTAAGAGAGAAAAGCAACACTTGGTGAATACAATACAAAGATCTAACCAAACAAAGTGAGGTTGGGTCTGGATCTTAGCATTGAGTTAAGAAAATACAAAGACCTAACTGAAAAAAGTGAAGTTGGGTCTGGATCTGATCTTAAGAATATACAAAGACCAGTCAGGTCTGGATCCTGAACATTGAATTAAAAAAATACAAAGACCTAACTGAATGAAGTGAGGTTGGGTCTGGGACTTAGCATTGAATTAAGAAAATATGTGAGGTTAGGTCTGGATCTTAGCATTGAATCAACAAATACAAAGACCTAACCAAACAAAGTGAGGTTGGGTCTGAAGCTCAGCATTGATTTAATGAAATACAAGGACCTAACTGAACAAAGTGAGGTTGGGTCTGGATCTCAACATTGAGTGAGAATTTTCAGGACCTAACTCAGCAAAGTGAGGTTGGGTCTGGGACTATGCAAGAGCTACAGGCCTGTGCAAAAGGCATGGACCATAACTGGTATTGTCATATGCTGTGCTCTGATGGTATATGGCTCCAATAGTCTTCATATAAGTCCTGGTGTCTATCATGTACTATGTTCAATCAATATGAGGGGCAGGTATGAATCTGTGTATTCAGCCTATATATCGCATCTGGTTACGCGGGTAATAAAACGTAGCGTTAGATGATAGTGGTCGGTACTGTAATTTGTTCGAACAAGGACAAAGGGGAACGATTGTGTCGGAACATAATATGTACATGGGACATTATGCATAGGTTCTACTTGGTCTAGCAAAAATACAAATAAGGTGGAAATGGTCTTCGTGGGTAGGACTTTAAAAAGCCTTGGATCGGTATTATATGGTCTTACCCATGAATCGGACACAGGCACTCCCCGAACCGTTGTTTTTTTTATTGAATGTGGTTGATGCGATGGACAGGTCATTGCGGCGTGTAGGACTTTGCGAGATCCTGCTCATGAGAAGATGTCGCTCGGTTGCTAATGGTACAGGTGTCAGTGTAACATCACACTGGGATGGAAATTGTCGAGCGAAGGGTCATCAAGGATTACTGATAGCATATTGCAATGGATGGTCTGCCGCCCTTTAGTGGTTTGAACGTCTCAATGAAACTGGTAAAGAACAAGCCGTGGCATGAGACTCGGAAGATGTGGATAATGACAGATTCAGATAGTAAAGCAGCGGTGATAGAACAGTTAGCGAGTTGACAAAGATAGACAAATTTCGAAACTAATGAGCTGAGATATGGAGCACCAAGGGGATGTAATGAGAGAAGTCGGACCTCGATCGGGCTGATAGCATCTAATCGCCCTTGATATCAGTCATTTGTGTTCAGGTATTCATCAGATCTAGATCCCTTCCTCACTATTGCCTACCATGGTATTATCTCCAGTCGAGCGTTCGTTACACTGTACTAACAATAAGCACTAGTATTCACCCCAGTTTCTCTTTTAACCACCGCTTGTTGGCAGTCTGGTTCATCGCCAGGTTGCCATTTCTTGCAGAGCGAACCGTTGTCGCTTGCGGTGCCTCCACATCTGTTGTAGTACACGGTTGTCATCATGAACTTATACTCATTGCCGGGATTCGATTCATTCGACACTATTTAGTACGTCCATCTCTTACACTTTGTCTCTTTGCTTTGTATCGGGCTCTCACGGTGTTTTGAAAGCACATTCGCAGTCACCAGGTACAACGAGTTTTGACAAGGATGGTGCTCAGCTCCACTTCCAGTGTACGTGTCTCATTAGTCGGTATTCTCGTTTTTTCCAAACTGACCAATGTGCACAGAACATCGTCGACGCGGACAACTTCCCCAAAAAATCGCCTTCTCTCACCATCCAGCACCACAAAAAGAGGCACGACCCCCGCAATGGCACCGACTTTGGGTCTTATACCGATTCTGCCTCATCCAGAGGCGCCGTCACAACTGGGCCCCACCTTTCAAAACTTAATTCGCATCGCAACAGTCCCAGACCCAGCATCTCCGCCGCACCAGGCAACACCACGATTTCAGCTATCACAATAAACAGTCACCATGTGCCGTCGAGTACCCCCTCCTCTTCGACGGTCATCGCTTCCTTTGCATCGCCCGTGCCCCTGGTTGTGGCACTGTCTCCGCCTGCGCCCTCAGCCACCTCTACACCTATGACGTTAGCTCCCTCCTCCACCACCCCAGACCCAGGTTCAGCCAAAGGGTGCGTTGCCTTCCCCAAATAAAGCCACACACGATATTTATCATAGCACAATCTCCGATTTTTTCAAAACACTGACGCAGTCGCGGCCACATTCACCACCGTCGGCCTAACCATCCTCGCGATCGTCATCTTCATCGTAATTTTCATCGTCCGGCGCCGTCGTCAAACCAGGTCCAACGGCAAATCCGACGAGGCGACAGCAGAATCCGCGAACGCGTCTGCGCTTACTTTAGTCGACGACAAACAAAGGGGTCAGCAGAGCATGTACTACGATGTGGGAAGCAATGGGATGTATGCACCGCGACCGACGAGTCAAGAGACGTATGGGCTGAAGGAGTCTGGGTATGGTTTCTCGGATATGGGTGCGGGGTACCAAGCCCAGGAGTTGAACGGGTGGACTGGCAAACTTACCTCCACCACTACCTCCACCATCACCCCTAGTCGCCACACATCATTTAACACCTCCGCTTCCGATTTCCGGTCATCCTACAGTACTTTTTGCTTCAACCCCTCCACATCCAGGCGCAGCGCGAAGAAACAGGGGTACTACCGTCAGCTCCTCAAAGCCGTCGGAGTGGCCAGAGCATCGGGATCGAGTACGTTTACGGATGCGTGTTTTGATGCACATAAGATGCAGCGGGGGATGTCATTGAATCGGAATGCTGAACTCGAGGTTCTACCGAATCCACATGATGTGCCTGGGGCGCAGGCGCAACAAGGAGGAACGGCTTTGGGGACGGACAACTCACCTGGAGGGTATGTGGACGAGCATCAACGTGGAAATTGAGAATGCATACATGAATACAGAGAGGAGATTTACTATGTGGTGGAGGAGAGGCTTAGGCTGTCGAATGTTCGTTTTCTGCTCTTCCTTCTTCATACGTTTCTCGTATTTTACCTCCTGTCTGAAGTGCACCTAACTGACTTTTTCTTGTAGATCGCGAAAGAATGAGACGCTTGCGCGCGAGGATGAACGAGCGTCGCCGCTCTCCTCGACGATTAACATCAGAACTCCCATTTCCTTTTTGTTATTGCAGAATTGGTATTGTAATCCACGATTTCTCTACCCGCCACACTCGTATTGTCTTCAGCTTCGCAGCCTCCTCCATTTACCAACCTCCCAACTCCCGTCCGTCCGTCTCCCACTCCTGCATTGCTTCCCCTCCCTGACTTCCTAACGAACCACATATCACTCACCCCTCACCTCGCCTCTTAGATCCTGAATCGCACTTACTCCTCTACTCTAATCCGTCGAACGTTGATCGAACTTACTCTTTCCTCATCTGCTCTCTTGTCCAAGACTAAAGAAGCCCAACTAACACTCACTACATAAAATCCCCATCTCGGACACTGTTATATGTACACACTAATTGTTACCCTGATTCGAGTTCCTACTACTCGTACTTTTATCAATCTTGTACTCATACCTGTATATATTCCGTACCCTAAACCCGTTCCGTATATCGGTATGTTATATCTATATATTTGTTCACTGGGTATTGATGCAAATCTGTACGTATGCTTGCGCATGCATGATGTATACTTCCAAAATAAGGATTCATCCGCTTCAGTGCAGACACCATAGAATTTGATAGTGCAAGTTGCGATATTGAGCTATTACGATGCTCCCTTTTTCCAAACATCCGAGACCTTATCGCGTATGATGGCAAATATCCATGGTCAGCCTGAAAAGAGAAGTTCGAGATTTTAGGAAATGAAATGATTTCGGAAATGCATACTCAGAGTGGGTAACGTGGTTCGAACACGGATATCTTCGGACGCGATAATCTGTTCGAAGGCAGATTGTTGTCTGGCTCTGCTGATCTACAGCCTGAGCTGTTCCCCACTTGATAGGGTCCAGTCTACACGTGTTTAACTTGAAAGAAGTACGTATACGCACAAAGGTGGTACCAGATGGATTATCAATGGGTTCAGGTTTAGAATCTGACAGAATACCTATTTCCCGAGCTTTTTGACTCCTCTGTAGATTTGGATGTGTTAGGCAAAAGAAGCTTTTGTAATATCAAAAGAATATGCCATAGAAGGGACCATCTGTTAGCAAAGAACAAAAGTGGAGTCTTGTTCCTATTGATGATGCGATAGCTTCTTAATGGTGCTGAAGGTATGACTGTTGATGGGGGCATAGCTCAGCTGGGAGAGCAGCAGACTGAAGTATTTGTGAAAAGGATCTTATTCTGAAGGTCCCGCGTTCGATCCGCGGTGCCCCCATTGATTCCCTCTGTAACGTTTTTGTCGGCCTAGGCAGGCTCATTGTCGAGAAATGTTGCAAGTATCTAGACAAACATCAATTAGAAATACGTTGTATGCTTTCTACTCTTATTCTATTCATTTTCATTGCATCTTAAGAAAATCTTTTTGCCTTCCTTTGTCATCATCAATTAGAACATTTTTGGTAATTTGTGGATTGAAAAATCTTAAAATGATTCATGAGAAACATTCATTAGAAAACACACATCAGTGATGAGTGATACACTCACTGCATATCATCCATTTAATTCAAAAAGGATTATATAGAGATACAGACAATAAGAAATGGGTATGTATATGACAGTTCCCCAATATTATCCTGAGATGAGACAAACTTATGAACTCTCCAGCTGTATTTTGTATCAACTAGGGATCTGACAGTTCATCACCCTCAGGTAGATAGATACTTCAATCTCCCAAACTCAAAACCAACACTCCTTTCAGCATGATACCCCTTTAACAACATGTGAGCTGGGTCTTTGTTGGAATCCTCCTCATTTTGCTGTTCCTGCTATTACATCTCACTGCTGGCACTGGAACCTGTTTCCATTGGAAAAATGGAAAAAGAAACCTGTCATATCATTTCTGTGACAGAATTTTCCTTTGGAATTTGAAAAAAGGTGTTTACCATTATTTAGAGCCTTTTTCCAGTGGAATACCCTGTTTGGAAATGGCATGACAGGTTTCTTTTTCAGTATTTCCTTAGAAATCACTATTGGCTGCCAGTAGTGTCTGTGCTCATCTTTGATTCCCATCATTGTCTGTACCTTGACATCATGATATGGAGTTTTTTGACTCTTCATCTGCAAGTTTCCTGTATGTTCTTACATATTGTTAGCTTGTTTTTACATATTGTTGGCCTAACCAACCTCTTCGGTAATCTGTTTGAATACCTGAACAATCTCGTAGCAGCGGAGTTTCAAATTGTTCCTTGTACCTTTGATAGTTGATGATAACTTTTGATCTATTCTTATATTCCCCCATCATCTCTTATGTCTCCCCCAGAATTCAAGAGCGCTTTCGAGGGCATCGATCTCAGGCTAGATTTAGCCTCCAGGCAGAAGTTATGGTGCAGCACTTCAGCAGACAAGTGGAGATCCGATTTCGACGCACTTCGGACAGCTTTGGTCTATCCTCAGTTTATGGACTATGACGTCTTTTTTGGTCATCACTTGCATTCCGAGAGGTTCTGGGTTGAAAACCAGCCTTACATCCTTGCTCGTGGTTATCAATTACGACCTAGATATCGAGCCGAATGGGTACCATCCTGGAAAAACCACGAAGGACCTATCCAGTCTCTTAGAATGTTTGAAGATGCTATTGTGGCTTCTGTATGTTTTGATCCTCCTTTGTATGAAAACGGCTTATCTGTGCTTAGGGATCTCATGGTCACATTCTTGATGCTGTTCGAATCAGCGATGGCGTCAAGGTTGTACTCAAACGCCTCGACACCAGGAGCGAAGAACTTCGTGTTGCGCATTACCTGTTATCACCGCAGCTTGCGAAGGATCCTCGGAACCACACCGTTCCAATTCTTGATGTCATACCTCTTCCGAACTCTCATTCAGAGGCTTTACTTGTGATGCCGCAATTGCTTCACTTTGCCGAAATACCATTTGTCCGATTTGGCGAAGTAGTCGAGGCGGTGCAACAATTCTTGCAGGTAAATAACAGCTCATCTAGCACTACAGCAATATTTATACCATTCTTAGGGTCTTGATTTCATGCACGAGAATAGAATTGCGCATAGGTAAGCATATGATTCTCTCCATTGCAGCACCACCAAATTGACTAGAGTATAATGTAGAGATGCTTGTTACATGAACCTCATGATGGATCCATCAAAGGTTGTTCCTCGCGGCTTTCATCAGATGAAACCTTGGTCTCATGATGGTGTCAACACTCAATTTGAATCTTTCGAGCGGTGGTCTGTCAGTCCAGTCCAATACTATTTCATTGATTTTGGACTCTCTGGTTATTATCCCAAAGGTGTAGAATACGAAACAGCGACAGGATTGTGTGGACAAGATAGGACTGTTCCTGAGCTACTTGTTGATAAACCCTATGACGCATTCAAGCTCGACATATACCAGCTTGGGAATGTCATAGTTGAAATTATCAAAGTATGTTGTTTCTTATCTTACCGCTATATATGTAGCCTCCACTCACTCGTTCCCACATCATTGGACTAGAAATACACCGGCCTTGAACTGTTACTTCCGCTCGCCAGAGCAATGACCAGTACCAATCCCAATGATAGGCCCTCGCCAACCCAAGCATTAAAAATGCTTGAACCATTTGGATTTGAAATCCTCCAAGGTGCTGTCTCCCGCAAAGATATCATGACTTGGGAAGAGGAATCGGCCTGAAGTCGATTGGTTGACCATCTCGATTGAAGTATAGTATAGATAATCCAGAAGTGATATGAAGTGGCCCCAAATGCAGTCTAGTATCTGGATATTGTATCTAAAGCTGTTGGGCTTGCGAATTGTAGTTGTTCATTGGCGAGTTGATTGCCACCAGTAATATTGACTTGTGCATGTTCTGCAGCTCATGCTCCAACTTAATATCCAATACATCAAATTTGCTATTGCATGTTTTGCTCATGTAGCAGTGATGCAATCCATCCAGAGAAGGTTAAAGGTGAGTACTACAACGAGAGTAGCAGAATATCCTGAGCAGAATATCTTGATCGGAAATTGCGGATGAAAGCATGTGACCGAATCTCGATCAGCCGATAGCCATCTAACCCGATAGCGTCTAACATCAGAACCTTTCGTGTCTTTTCCTTCCCTTCCTCCTTTTGCTTCCTCCCGCTCGTTTACGAGATATACCACAATAAGTACTACTTACTACCCACCGCAGTTACTATTAGTACTACCACTTGTTGGCCGTCTGGTTCGTTGCTAATCACCATTTTTGTTGCCTCTCCACATCTATTATAAGTTCAGGGTTGTCACCATGATGAACTTTTGGACCTGCTCTAACGATGTTTCCGGGCCGCAGGCGTAGTCACAGGCGCAATGAGTTCCGAGAGGATGGTTGTGCAGCTCCAGAATCAATGTACTAGTCGGTGTTCTCGTTTCTTCCAGCTCTAAATATCTCAATGTGCACAGCTCTAGGACGCTGGCAACCTCCTCAGACTAATTATCCAGCACTGTGACAGAAGACGACCAAAAACCATCCAAAGATTTTTTTTTCGACCACCTCTCCAACCACCCCTCAACTCCCTCAACCCGCTCCGCTACAGCTCCAGATCCTACAGAGACCCTCCCGTCAAAATATTCCTCCATCGACCTCCACCGCATTACAAAGTAACAGGACAACTGCATTTGCTTAAACCAGTGTTTCCCTTTCTCGATCCCATGCACTCCCTTCGTCATCCGTGCCGTCAGCATTGCTCCCCCACTATCAACGTAGATGTTTGCGTCTACGACGACAACTACCTCTATGTCTACTTCTTCAGCTACCTCTTCCAGCCTGCCCGCCAGCCAATAATAACATCATCTTAGATTCTTCCAAGATACCGGAGCGGTCGCGGGCACATTCTCCGCCGTCGCCTCATCTTCGTCGTAACCTTCATCATCCGGCGCCCTCGTCAATTTCAACTACAAACCGGAGGGACAGCCGAATCCGCGAATGCGCTTACCCTAATCGGAAGAGATTAGCAGAGGATGTACTACGATGCGGGCAAGGGTGGGATTTATGCACAGCGGCCGATGAGTGCAGAGACCTGGTCTGAAGGAGCCTGGGTATAAATCCTCAGATACGTGTGCGCGGTACCAAGCACAAGAGTTTAATGAGTGGGCTCGCAAACTTTTTTCACCACTACTGCCGCATCTAGCCGCCGCACATCATTAAACACCTCCGCTTCCAACCCACGCCCATCATACAACACTTCTGCTTCCAACCTCTCTACATCCAGGCGTAGCACGAAGAAACCGGTGTACTACCGCCAGCTCCTCACAGCTGCCGGGTTGACCAGAGCATCCGGATCGAGTATGGATACGGTATAGATGCAGGTTTTGATGCGTGTAGGATGCTGCGGGGGGTGTCATTGAATCGGAATGCTGAACTTGAGGTTCTACCGAATCCACATGGACGCAGGCACAGGTGCAACAAGGAGAAACGGGGACGCGGACGGACAATTTACATGGACGGTACATGGACGATTATCAACTTGGACATTGAGGGTGCATACATGAATACTGAGAGGGAATTTCCTATGTGGCCGAGGAGAGACTTAGGGTGTGGAATGTTCGTTTTCTTCTCTTCCTTCTCCATACCTCCTTCCTTTCTTGTATTTTCCCTCCTATCGGAAGCACGCCTAACCGACTTTTTCTTGTAGATCGCGAGAGAATGACCGTAGATGTATGGGTGGGGACGAACGAACGTCGCTGCTCTCGACGACCAATATTAGAGCTCCCATTTCCTTCTTGCTCTCGCAGAGTTCGTAATCCACAATTTCTCTTTCTACCTGCCGCGCTCGTATTGTCCTCCATTTACCAATCTCCCAACCCCCATTGGTTCGTTTTTTTGTGGTTTCTGCACTGCCTCCTCTCCGTACTTCCCTCACGAAGCACATATCAATCACCCCTCACCTCGTCTCTTACATCCTGAACCTCACTTACTCCTATACCCTCATCCATTGAACGTCGATCGACTCTCGTCCACTCTCTCTTGTTCGAGACTAAACAAACCCGACTCAAAGTGACTACATAAAATCCCGATCACGGACATTTATCTGTACACCGCTCATTATTACTCTGATTCGAGTTCCTACTACCCTACCTATTTCGTAATATCTTCGTTTCTTGTATATAATACTCGTTCTTTATATACTCATGCAAACTTGTACATGTAACTAACTGTACATGCGCATTTTCGTTTTCTTACAATTTCATCTATTTTAAACTATTGTAGAGGGGTCAGAGCTCTGGAAAAAGACACTACTAGACAAC